GGAGGGCAGAATGACATAAATTTCGGTGGTCACTTTACATCTGAACAACATGTTGACAAACTACGTGCCGCCCAAAACACGAACATTATAGTCTCGACTCTGCTCTTCTGGTACAGCAAACCAACACTGTCCAAATAAATTAAACACGCAAACAACGAATTGATACTGCATCTGAAAGGCACACCTGTTAAATAATTTGAGCTAAACTTTCTTTCAGAAAAAACACTTCACCCCGGCATGGTCTTCACCTGAACCTTGTCGGAAAACATTCACTTAGTAGCGAGCGAGCTTGCAAAACACATCCTTTCACAACCTCGGCAGTGTCCTGCCCATCACCCTCCCCTACCCACATCTAGTTCTCTTCCATCATCCGGGACCTCTTTGGGCCCAATTAACTTATCCCCTGAACCAAATCCTTGTACTACCCTTCCCATTATTAATTTATCAACATTTTTCGCCTCTCCTTCCTCATCTCCTGTCACTGCTGGGGTTCGATACTTCCTTCAACTACGCACTCGAGGTAAAAATGAGATAAATAGCAACTACTGTTAAATGCAGCAGAAATTTCAATAATGCATCATAATGTGCAATCTCTTTTAAATAAAATTGAATTAATCGAGGCAGCATTACAGTGTGATCTAGGTCAAATAGATGTTTTTTGCTTTACCGAACATTGGTTGTCTTAAAATAATCTAAACACGCTCCAAATTTCTAGTTTTTACCTTGCAGGATCGTATTGTAGAGCGAGGGAATCAAATAAGGGCTTCTATCTTCTTGTCAGAATTCAATTCATATATATAGTTGAACAAGTTTTTGAAATAACAGTCGTACGTCTTACTACGCTCAAAACTATAGTACTTTACATCTACAGACCACCAACAAAGTGAGCGTTAGATAATTTCACTTTCTTAGAAAATTTAGAGATAACTCTGAACAAAATTAGTAATCTCTCTTTTAAATCCATTGTTATATTTGGAGATTTCATTATCGATTTCCTGAGCGAATCGCACGAAAAAGAGCTGTTTCTCAATTTACTGCATTATTTTAATGCTGCATTGGTTTTGTAATAACAAATTAATAGTTAACGAAGGAAAAACAATTTCAATGCATTTTTGCATTTCAAATCAGCAATTTCATGCTCTATTGAAAATGAACAATATCCAATTGGCTGATGTTCAGGTAACAAAATTACTATGTCTCTCAATTCACTCAAACCTCAAATGGCATGTACATGTAACAAAATTAAACACTAAATTAAGTTCATTTTGTTACGCATTCAAAATTCTTTCAAATTCTATCAGCGTTCATTGCGTGTATTTTGCAATACATTCCCGCCTGAGATATGGCATAATATTCTGGGGCAACTCATCATGTAGTACTCAGACCTTTAGATTGCAAAGAAAGTTATTCGAGTGATTATTATGAAAAAATGCCATCCGCGTGATCACTGCAAGCCTCTTTTTATTGAGCATGGAAACCACTGCCTTGGCTATTTATTTTTCGAATCTGTAATATTTGTTAAAATTGACTTACTTAACGATCGGAACATATTTTCCTGCAATACTGATATTTACAATTACAACACACGTCGAAAAAATCACATTAATCAAATGTCAGTATCAACAGCTCACTATCAGAAATCCACAAACAATACATGTCCGTTACTTTACAACGCACTGCCAGATGACATTAAACAATTAAAGTCGGTTCACAAATTTAAGTTAAAAGTAAAATATTTTCTGCTGCATAAGTATCTCTATACAATTAGAGGCAGTTATACTGATTATCAAAAAGAAAAATAATGTTTATTTTGACAAAACAGTGATAATAATGAATTAGTTTACATTTGTATTTTATATTTTTTTAAGTTATTAAAAAATTATAATTAAAAAAATCATGTTTGTAACATATAATGTACTTTAGACCCCCATCTCAATCACGTTTTTGTCCAGTTTCCCTGAGCCATTGAACAAATTCTGAGATGGCCCCTTGTTTTGATTCTGGACGTAAATGTAGCTTCACTATGCGCGCATTTTGCTTGTAATGGTAGGAGGAGAGATAAGGGCGAGTTACTGTTTTGTTAGCAATGCAGAAAAGTCATACTTGCAATTACCCATGCAAATAAATTTTTTATAACTCGGGAACGAAAATGTCTATTTTTTCAAAATATTGCTAATGCACATTTTCAAATTTATTTTTATTTATTTGTTTTAAACTTTTACTCATCTTTCAACTATTTATAGTTAAAATGAGGGGAAGGGATTCTGGAACTCAAGGCAACGTGCGTAGATGATCTTCTCCTCCATACGTCATATACAGTTCTATTCTCACCCATTACTCATTCGCATTTGCTTTTACATGTACTACCATACAAACCAGAAGAAGAAGAAGAAGAAGAAGAAGAAGAAGAAGAAGAAGAAGAAGAAGAAGAAGAAGAAGAAAAAAATGCAAATGCAAATGAGCGGACTGTAAACGGACGCACTGACAAAATAATAGTATGGGCATTGCCTACAGTTTTGTTGCCAGCAATGGCAAGTACTAGCTGTCAAAGCGGTCCCTTCTTATAGTAATCTCTCTATACTTACTGACGGAAGAGAATGACATCAAGAATTGCCTTTCCTTGAGTCATAAAATATACCGCCAGTATTGCCGGCGCAAACCGATTCATTTCTCTTCGGGAAAGCGGGTAAATGACAGCTTTCCAACTGCGTTTGAAATCAATAATGATGTTGAAGAACCGTTTTCATGCATCGCATCAAAACTTAATTTCGGATATGGTCGCAGATAATGTAATTCGCAACATCAGTTCCTCACTAGTATCATCAATTGAGCTGCTATGAAGTTAGATTCGGGATATCTCTATGTACGAATGCACTAGCTAAATTTGTAGGAAAATGTAAACTGAGTGGGATTTGCCCGCAAACTAAAATTATCTGTCAGATGGAAAGATGATCATTGGATTCAGGTTGAATAAGATACCCGTGAACAATGTGGTTGCTATGACAACATCTATATGGTCCACTGATGATCTATTAAAATCTCCTCTTTTTTTCATCGGGTTGTTTCATGTTTATATCAATTGCGATAAATAATATCACCGAATGCATGTTTATTACAACTTAGAGCAAAACTCAACTGCGTCGACTGGGCATTGCTTTATTTCCCATTTCCTATGTTGTGAGTTTCGTTCTACACTCGCGGTTGAAATGGTTGGCAGACTGACGCACAGTTCGTGATTTAGTAGGAGCTTGAGATGCCAACATTTGTTAGGGATCCTTGTGGTATTGTATGTATTTTCATGACATATGTGGCTGTTCTTTACGCGGACTATGTAGTAGTGAGGTGGATAATTTTACAAACGATGCAAGACAGGTAAATGGCATAATTGTGTGTTGGTGTGTGTGTGTTGCCGTGTTTCGCACATCTGACGTTTATACTGCTCGTACCTTTTGGACACCCGTATATGGCCATTATAACAACATTTAGACGTATCAAGTGTCGAATATTTTATTGGCAACAACAGATAATGGATGTATTTCGGTGCTTTTGACATCGTCAAAGCGATAGCGACATAACCTGTTGTACTTTGTTTTGCTGCGACTGGGTGGCATCGTACAAGTTTGGCAAGTATTTATACTCATTCACTCATTGTTCATTACTATTGTTTTGTTTCAGCTTATGGGGACCATTTCATGTAGTACTCTTTAACACAATTGTATTTCTGTTGGCAATGGCACATATGAAAGCTGTTTGTTCAGATCCAGGAGTTGTACCATTGCCTCAAAATAGGGTAGATTTCTCTGATATTCATTCAGGTATGGAATTTTTTGTCATGCTGAAAGTATTCAATAGCTGAAAACGTTTACTTATAAATTGTTATTTCATAATATCTTACTTCGATGAATTTGATTTTATGTTCTTAGGCTCTCAATCTGCACTTCAGCGTGAAGACTGGACTGTATGCACACGTTGCGAAACATACAGACCACCAAGGGCACATCATTGTCGGATTTGTAAACGTTGCATTCGTAGAATGGACCATCACTGCCCTTGGTAAAGATGTAACTTTGTTTTTAGCATGATTAATTTAATATAAACTGAGTTGAAAATTTTTCCCTTGTTTTTTTATAAGAGTGTACACTCTTATTTTGTTAGTAATTTTATCTTTTATTAGTCATTAAGTCAAATTACAAAAGTAAATTTTCTGTTCAAAAAAATTTTCACGTACTTTTTGTGTTGGAGAAGTAATGGGTGATCAAACTTTTATATAACTCAACAATTTTCACTATTCAATTTGTAGGATTGTAGGAAACATAGTGAATGTAGAAACACCATAAAATGGGGTGCTTGAGGCAGTATAGAATATTAGATTATATAGTTCAAAATAGGATGGTGAAGAATATGAAGTGTCATTTTGCTTAGAATTATTAATGATTTCTTGTTTCAATTTATTAATAAAACATTTGAGTCAAAATTGTTGGTATTTGTAAATGATTTATTGATTACTTTAATGAATTTTTAAGGTACTTGTGTGAATCTTTAATAAGTTGTTCCGATTGTTATTTCAAATTTAATTATTTTTTTAGTTGTACAAGTTGTTTATTTTATATGTTTTGAAAGTTTCTTTGCTGTCCAAAGTAAAATTAAATTACAATGATTGGAAGCTGAAGATAGGAAAAGTACTTTGAATGATTGGAGAAAAAAAGAAAAGAAAAAGAAGAGAGAAAAAAAATAGTGTATTACTGTAATTTCTAAATGTCTAAAATTGTTCTTGTGGAATATATTCCTTTTGTCTCTGAATAATAGCTTCTTTAATAAGTACCCATTTAAATGCTCATGCGTATATATAGATATGTGAGAATGTGTGGGCCAATATTGCAGTTGGGAAAAATGACTTAAGCAGAATTGCAAATTTTTTGGCAAAACACAAGCGTGTACTACAATATGCACTAAAAATCTGCATACATATCATGTACATTTCTTTATCAGATGAGATTGAGATTACAAAATTGATGACCTTACACAATCTAAAATGCAAGTAAGTGTTTTTAGACTGCATAAATGTTCCTGGAAGAAATTTGTATTTGTCATTGCAATGAAGTGCTCTTTTGAATCCATTGGCATTTTATTTGTTGTCATTTTTGACACTTAAAATTACTCTTACTGTTTGTAGATTTATTAACAACAAATATTTAATTGTAGTTATAAGTGTAACAAATACTGTAGAGGGCACAAAATACTATAAAATCTTTTTTAAATTTTCATATTGATACTCCATGCAGAAATTGCTTAGATGGTTCCTTGTTTTATTTGTGTATACAGAGTGTAGATTTTCTTCTTCTCCACTATTCTCATCTATATTTTTCATTATCTCTTAATATTTAGAAATAATAATAATAATAATAATAATAATAATAATAATAATAATAATAATAATAATAATAATTATAATTATAATAATAATAAATTTGTCATATAAATACAGCATACGCCATGTATGACAAGTCAGGATATGTACATAACCTTACAATACACAATACAGATATTTCTAAAAATTAAATACAAGACAAATTAAATTTAAAATTCAATTGTTGTATTAAATACAATATCATGGAAAGCTATAATAGAACTTAATATTAATTTGATAATGGTAATGTAAGAAGACTTACGTTAAAAATCAATAATAATAATAAAAAAAAAAAAATTCTTCATAGATTTGTGCCTAGGCTGGGTCTGTCCTTTATATTCAACAACCTGTTTAGGAGGTTTGAAAACATGCAACAGAAAAAGCAAAAATTATTAGTACTAGTTTATATTGATGTAGATACATGTTTGGGTTTCTGTGTTCTGCACATGTACATGTGCAGAAATAATTAAAATAGTTGTAAATATTAACATTTGTAGTATTCATAATGTGTTAATACTGTTCAATTTTTACAGGATAAATAATTGTGTTGGTGAACAAAACCAAAAGTATTTTATTCAGTTCCTAGTATATGTGGGTGCTCTTGCTGCATATGCAATCACATTAGTTATTGTATCCTGGGTGGTAGATTGTCCAGAATGTGACAATGAGATTGCTGTAAAACAAAGCAGAATGTAAGTTCAGTTTTAGTTTATTTAATTAACATTAAATATTTTATACCACATTAACTCATTATCTTTGTGCATGTTTATATGTAAATATAAAGAACTCTGGAATATATAGATCTTTGTAGAATATCAGTGCTTTAATTTTTTACTGCCCTCATTTCTTTAATTTACATTCTGATACATTAGGAAACACTTTTTTAAACTGTAGATTTTTATGGGTTTTTCCTTTTGCATTATTTATTAATTTTTAAGATCTCATATTCCTTTCATAATTGTACAATTAGTTGTTGGCAATTATGCATTTTCTTCTCTTTACCTACTCTAAAAATAGATCGTTATATATTTATTTAAAGCAATATTCATTCAATTACTGAATCCAAGTCAAAGTCAATCTTTGATCTGTTTTGCATCCAGTTGATTTTATCATGGAGCCAAATAGACACCTAATGCTTTGATTGCCTTACAAGTCCATGTATTTCTTCGCAGATGATTTGGTATGTGGGTGACCTGCTCCATAAAACATTTTAGTAATGAATTATTTTATTGTATGATGTAACATGTTCACATTGATTGGTGCCTATACTGTGTGAATCATATTTCCAATGTAACTGAACTTTCATGCAGCTGATAGGATGGAGAATTTTGAATAACAATTCAATAACAATAGCAGAACTGTTATCCATCTGTGGACATTGCGTTATTTCGATGTGTCGCCTGTGAGTCACACCTCAAATTTGGATGAAAAAATCTGGTATCAGAGTAAAAAAATAAAAAAATAAAATTTCTTTAGTTTTGTGTTAATATATTAGTTTTAAAACTTGGTTTAAATACGAAGCACTCGGAAGCAGCGGAATACAGCGGCGATGCACTCTACAGGTAGAACTGTGCATATCGCTGTGCTTTGGGAGGTCCCTTTAAATGCTTATTGAGGGAATCTCCCCGAGAATGTCCTTTGGAAGGCGGATGTCTGCATATTTTCGAGCTTCCCTGCTCATTTTGTTCGACCTCATGGCGATGAAATGTTTGTAGAAAATTTATAATTTAACACATTAGAGATTTACTGAATATACTCATTGATGTGTATTTTTAACACACCTTGATTGGAGAAATGGTAGCAGTGTGATGAAGTTGATGACTTCAAAAATGTCTTCGAGCATGTTCTGATAAGAAATGTTCAGAATTCATTTTAATGTGGGATGTGTGTTCCCAAAGAGAATGGATTTCTGAAATTCATCACACTGATCAACACTGATTGACCCCTACCTGAAGTGAAGTAACACGTCTTATTCAACGCATATTATAATGTCCAAAACACTCCAGGCAGGTTTGGGAACCTTAAAAAAGCAAATTGCTAGGATGTTCACTTATTGCTGAGACAGGTTACTCTGCCAGAATGCATGACATTTTATAATACACACACACACACACACACACACACACACAAATATACTCTTCATTTTCACCGTAGAAGCATGAGAAAGGCCATATTGTTAAATGTCTGTGTGAGAAAGTATGTGCAGTAATGTATTTGCGTGAAGGAGGCCAGAATCAGGGTTAAGTGCCAGTACTCGAAGTCCCGTGATCTTGCTATCAAGATTGTGAACAAATCTTTAAGGTTGATTATTGTATCCCATCCCAGGCAATTCTGGTACTATAATGTCTACTGTGGATGTGAATGAAATGTCTGGAAACTCTTTCCAATTGACACTGCCCAATCAGCCTTAAAAACAAAAATCATATTGATGTCAATTGTGAAAACCTTCATTGCTTTATGAATCTTTGCATTACTTCATTGCCAGTAATAAAGTTAGGTTGCCTCTTTTAATACCTATTGTTTGTTTATCGCAAGTGTTTTTAATTTGAAATGGTAAACATTTGCATTATTTGAAGAGAAGTTTTTTCCCAACTT